TACATTCCCATCCATAGTGTAGGAGGGTTCCTTTTTCTCCACACCCTCTCCAGCATTTGTTGTTTGTAGACCTTTTAATGATGGCCATTCTGACTGGAGTTAGGTGATTCCTTATTGCAATTTTGATTTGCATTTTCCTAATAATCAGTGATTCTGAGCATCTTTTCGTGTGCCCGTTGGCCATCTGGATATCTTCATTGGAGAAATGTTTTTAGGTCTTCTGCCCATTTTTCTATTTAGTTGCTTGTTTTTTTGTTTTTTTTTTTTTGATATTAAGCTGTACGAGCTGTTTGTATGTTTTGGAAATTAGTCCTTTGTTGGTTGCATCATTTGCAAATATTTTCTTTCATTCTGTAGGTTGTCTTTTTGTTTTGTTTGTGGTTTCCTTAGCTTTGCAAAGGTTTTTAAGTTTAATTAGGTCCCATTTGTTTATTTTTGTTTTTATTTCTATTACTCTAGGAGCTGGTTTGAAAAAAATATTGCTGCAATTTATGTCAAAGAGTGTTCTGCCTATGTTTTCCTCTAGGAGTTTTATAGTATCCAGTCTTACATTTAGGTCTTTAATCCATTCTGAGTTTATCTTTGTTTATGGTGTTAGAGAATGCTCTAATTTCGTTCTTCTATAGGTAGCTGTCCAGTTTTTCCAGCACCACTTTTTTTTCTTTATTGTATATTCTAGCCTGCTTTATAGATTAATTGACTGTAAGTGTGTGGGTTTATCTCTGTACTTTCTATCCTGTTCCATTGATCTATGTGTCTGTCTTTGTGTCAGTACCATACTGTTGTGATTACTGTAGCTTTGTAATACAGTCTGAAGTCAGGGAGCGTAATTCCCCCAGCTCCATTCTTCTTTCTCAAGATTGTTTTGACAATTCAGGGTCTTTTGTGTTTCCATACAAATTTTAACATTTTTTGTTCCAGTTCTTTGAAAAGTTGGTAATTTGATAGGTATTGCATTGAATCTGTATGTTGCCTTGTGTAGTGTGGCCATTTTAACCAGTGTACTCATTCTTTATGCAGTTGTGACTCATTTGCTCTAATTGCAATACTATTTTTATTTATTTGTTCCTAGAAGTTTTGTTCAGTTCTTTTTACAAATCGTAGTAGTTGTTATTGATGCTCTTTTGTCATAGTTTCAGGTCTCCCTTTATTTATTCATATATTACAGAATATAAAGTAAGTCTGTTTACAGTCTGGTTTTGATACCCACAGTCTTTATGGCTGTGATTTTTTTGATTCTTTGGATTTTTTTCTTGCTGTGGCTTATTTATTTCTTATAGTATTTTTTGATTTTGAATTCATATTTCTTGGAACTTTTTTGTTGATTTCTTTGAATTTTAGTTTGAGGGTAAATTGCTTCAGAGGAAATTTGTGTTTCCTTCTTCCAGAGATGTTTGGGCCCCATGCTTTGTCCTTGTTCCCTGTGAGACATGGACAAACCCAGGTTTTTAGTCATTGGAATTAAAACCCAGTTTTTTAGTCATTGGAAATCAGCAATGGTCACAGGCAAAATGTTAGCTGTAGTATGTGTATATACCCTTGTGGATTTATGGATTCTAGTCTTTTCTGACTCCTACAGAATTTCTTTATTCTTTTATTGGTTTAGCTGTATGTTAAAAAAATACATATTTATATTTAGGACATTACCACAAATACTCTTTGAGAGAGTCAGTGCAGAAATTCTGCTAGTTGTTGAGGTAACAAGGCCTTGGTGAAGGTATAGTAGGTGCAGGGTAGTAGCAGGAATTCAGGGTAAAGCTAAGTAGAGACCAGAACTTGGAATGTCTTCCTCATTTCCCTTGCTAAGGAGTTTAGCTTAATATTGATGCTGGAGGAGAGTGTTAGGTAGGGACTAAAATGATCAGTTTGACATTTTAGGTTGAGTATTTTGGTTTCAGAATAAAGAATGGCTTGGAATAGCCTAATCAAGGAGTTTTTATTACGAGTAACATGACCCCTTTTAACTATTTAAATTTTTTTTTGATTGCGGTAAAATGTACATAACCAGATTTGCCATTTTAACCATTTTTTATTGGATGCCTCAGTGGCATTTAGTACATTCACATTGTTGTGCAACCATCACTGTCATCTGTCTGCAGAATTTTGTCATCACCACATAGTGAAACTCTGAGCCCATTAAATAGTCTGTGAATCTGACCACTTTAGGTACCTTATATAAGTAGAATCATAGAATATTTGCCCTTTTCTATCTGGCTTAATTCACTTAGCATAATGTCTTCAGGGTTCTTCCAAGTTGTAGCATGTATCAGAATTTCATTCCTTTTTAATGCTGGGTGATACTCCATTGTATGTATTAAATACCACATTTTTTCTATCCATTCTTCAATTCGGGTACATTTGGGTTGTTTCCCCCTTCCAGCTTAAACTTTTAAGTCAAAAGGAAACTGATGAGAACCATTTTGGGCTAGCCTGAATAGCCTAAGGTTTATTAACCTCATGGCTCACACTGGGGCCATGAGTGGGAAAGCTTTCAGAATCCAAGTTGTCTTCTGTCTCTTTTGAGGTCACTTTCTCTTCAGCAGAGCAATTGTTGCTTTATTGTTTATATAGACATACATGGTTACCCCAACAATTTGTGACCAGCTCTTGGGAGAATCTAATTTGCTAGCTCTAGTCACTTGACCGTACAGCTTCCAAAAAGCTACGGTGTTGAAGGAGACTTGAGGAGGACTGGGTATATACATGGCTACTGGGAGTCCACTATGTTGGAGAGATACCCAAGGGGGTTGTAGTAATCTATACTGGAGATTCTGATAAGCTGAACTCAAGCAGTGGCGGTGAGAATAGAGAGAAGCCAAAAGTTTGATGGGGTATCTTGAGTTACTGGACCTCATGGTTGGTGGACAGTGGGTAAAAGGGAGAGGGTGAAATCCAGGTAACTCTTAGGTTCTGTTTCTAGTGGCTCTTGGGACTGTCTTGCTTTTTTCCAAGGCGGAGAGTAGAGTAGGAACACGTGTGCTGGGAAGATACCTCAGGCTTGGACACTGAAGCAGTACAGCTCAGAGTGAAGCATGCAGACTTCAGAGCAGGCAGGCCTAGGTTAAATCTTGGTACTTTTGCTTTTACTTTCACTTTCACTTGATCCTTTTCACTTTCACTTTGGACAAATAATTCATCCTGTCAGAGCTGCAGTTTCTGTATTAACATGGGAGAAGATAAAGCTTCATGGGGTTATTGTAAGCATTAAATTCAACTGCGTAGGTAAAGCCCTGAGCACAGTGCCTTGTTACACTAAGAACTTAAATAATAAATTGTAACTTATAGCTGTTAATAGCCTTTCCAAATTGTCCTTAAGTATCTACTGGACATCTTAGTGATGATGAATGGTAAGATAGTGAAGGGGGAAGAAGAATGGAAGTGTGTGGGCTTGTCTGAAAGCCGAGATCCTGGACCATCTGCGAGATGGTATGTTTTGCCCAGCTCAACATCAGCAGCCCGGATGTAAGAGATCATATCCTCTTCCAACCATTTGAGGGTTACCGAGATGTTTTCTATGCTTTTCAACAGTTTCTTGTGGGAAAGTATCATCAGAGAGATATGCTTCCTCTCAGTCTTTGGTCTATATTTTCCTTCCTTATGTTGATTTCGTTTAAGCAAAGATTGGATGAGTGAGATTACTTTCGTCTCCCTCACTGAACTTTGTATTGCAGGCAGCATCTCGTTTCTGTGTCTAGCCCTGGAAGAGAGGCTACACAGGTTCCTTGGCTCCTTCAGTTCCCAGTGCCTAGCAGACATTCACTGTGCATGGATCTGCCAGGCTGAGAGCGAGTCTTCCCTGATTCAGACTGTGGAGGTCTCTGAATGGCTTAGAGAATTAGGAGCGGTTTGTAATTCTTTGAACATGAAAATGGACCTCTTTCCTGTGTTCTGTTTGTGGAGTTTTTTTCTGTCGGGGACCCTGTTTTACAAAGTTTTCCTTGGGCGGTTACAAACCATTGCCCTCCTTACTCTTCCCTGTTGCTTGCCCAGACCAAAGAATATCATCTCCTGATGGAGATGGAAGATTTCCTGGGAGAGGGATTGGTAAGGGAGGGAATCTAATTCTGCTGGACTTTAGAAAGAATACCCATGCTGGGGATGTCTGGCAGCCTATTTCTTCTAGTAGGTACAGCTCCTATATTTCAGAATTAAGTTCAGGCAATGAGAATGGATGAAATAGTTTCTCCATCTTTGTGGTTCACTCTCCTGTTGTAGTTTGCTTGTCTATTCACTTCATTCATTCATTCCTTGGATAGGATCTCAGAAGATGTAGTGTGTGGTGGAGAGTACAGTAATGAACTCTTGGTCAGTTGTACTTGGTCAGTCCCCAATGATTGTGCAGTTCATGGGTATTTGACTCAGACTTTGGCATCTGGTTGATAGAGCTGTTGTCAGTTTTTGTCTTATGTTTCTTTATGTGTATTTAGATGAAAAATCAAGAGGAGATTAAAATAACTTTCTTGTTTACTTATGAATCTGAAGCAAGTCTTCAGACAGATAGCAATACTTGACTAGACTGTTAGCAACTTGTTAGCCACTTTCTTGGCTGGAGCTGGTTTTACACAGGACACAGCACCATGCTCTGTGGCCACTGGCCTTGGGAGAGGTGGTAGAGAGGCAGGCCAAAATACAACAGATAGATTGGGTAGTTCCTTGAATTTGGAGAAAGTACCATGTTTGGTTTTGTTTCTCTAGGGCCTAGCTCTGTTCCTGGCCAGTATTTGGTCTTCAGCATGTTGGCTGAATGTATTAAAAAGTGAACAAATGACTGAATTTTTCAAGTTTGTTTTTATTTGGGGAGGAAATAAAGACTTGATGATATAGTTCGATTGTATTGAAATTCACATGATGTAGATTTTTAGTGGGCAACTGGGGAGTGAGTCCTTTTGGAAGTTGTATGAGATGGTTCCTGTTGTGTATTAGATGTATTTAAGTGAGCAAATAGAGAAATTTAAAGACCACATTGAATAATGATTTACTTTATTTTGTCTTCATTCTAGGTCTCCTATGCTATAGAGAGTTGTAAAGAGGTACGACCTCATATTGGTCTACTTCATTCTCTTAGGACTTTGAAATCACCTAAGGTATTTGTTTCATGTGAAGAGATGCTTTTTGTTAGTTGTCTGCAGTCCTTTTCAGGGTGTCTTTTCACTCTAGACTTGCAACATTGAATGTCATGGGTAGAAATTAGTATTGTATTGGAGAGTGTTTATTTAAGCCAAAGTCAAAATATCTTTTTGTGTGTGTGTCAGTTATGTAGAACTATGCCTGTAATTTTTCTAAAACATAAACATACATCATTGTATCACTAATTTGGAAGAGCTGGGATAACATTAAAGCCTCTAAAATTACATTCTTGGTCAATGAATGAGACCCAAATGGTATAAACTGTAAGTACAGTTTGTTACAAGCTCTCAAAAAGTAGCAACTTTATTTTCTAAATTTCTGTATCTCCTCTCACTGTTTAGCATTACTCTTTAGAAAAAAAAGTTTGGTTTTTGTATGTCCTGTATTATAAAGAGGCAAGTTTTTGTTTGTTGTAGTCAAAAAAGCAGTCAGCTTTTATCACTGCCAGGCTACCATTCTTGATTCTGAAAACAACAGGGCAGTTAATTAAAAGGAAAACAACTCCCCCAAAACCCCAAATCCAGCAACAGCAACAAAACTGCACAAAACTGCCCTGGTGATTCTAAGGAGACTTTGAGGGGTGATATTTACAGAGCAATGGAGGAGAGTAAAATTGTATGAGGTCTGTTGGACCTTAGTGAGATTATAAGAATGGAAAAGGGATTGGAGAAGAAGGAGGGTTCTGTTCTGAAATTTTCTTGGGCCAACTTGTGACCTTTCAAGATAACTTTATCATGTGGTTGAAAAGCAGCTCTGCTAGAGAAAATTCCAGAAAATTAGTAACTCCAGCTTTGTAATATTTCCATGATAGCAGGTTATTATAGTGGCAGCTAAGACTGCAGACAGTTCCTGGTGCTAGGTACCTTGCATGGGGATGAAGAATAGCTGGCAGTTGAGATGATCAAATGAAACCCCCGAAGCTGCTCCTCTCCCTGGCAGAGAAAGCCAACTGGTAAAAACCATCAGGCCATGGTGGTGAACTAGCCCACACCCCTCTTACCTCCAGTACTCTTTTAATCTAGGACTTCCTGTATTGTATTTAAATGTTTCATGTTTGAATCCTACGTGTCCCATTTCTAAAAAGCTTTTCCCACTTTGAATTTAATATAAAGTAAAATAGGAAAAGAATTTAAACTGTAAGGATTAAGAAAAAACTGTAAAGTCAAGAAAAAAAAATTCCAGCTTGGCCCCTGTTGAAATGTATACTGTGAAGTTCTCTGAGGCTCCTTTGCACTCTTCAAGAACCCGCCCTGGCCTGGTGCTTTATAATCAATTTGTAGCTTGAGGTCTTCTAATTTTCTAAGTATTTTAAATGTTGTGTTTTGGCTGAAAATAATGCATGTTTAATGTCTCAGTTTGCTAAAAGCGACTATATGGTCATACAGAGAATTGAGTTTTATTAAATCATATAACTTCAATTTTTAATGGCTGTTAGATATATGTACGATGTCACTGTCCAGTTAGGTGACAAGTGAAAAGGTTAGGAGTGTTAATTAGAAGATACACTCTCTTACAAATGGGATTGCTACCACCACTTCGTGTTCATCTGGATGTGTTGTAGAAGCTGCACTAGTGTATTCTGATGACATCTCTACTCCAGACCAATGGAAATGGAATGGAAATACGAGTTCACGGAGAAAAAAGAG